CTGTTGTCAGTCGGAAGTACATGTAATGTTCGTATATAAATAATAAGACAGAAGGGAATACAGATTAAGATCCTGTTGTCAGTCGGAAGTACATGTAATGTTCGTATATAAATAATAAGACAGAAGGGAATACAGATTAAGATCCTGTTGTCAGTCGGAAGTACATGTAATGTTCATATATAAATAATAAGACAGGAAGTACTCCAAATTAAGATCCTGTTGTGAGTCGGAAGTACACGACAGGAAGTACTCCAGATTAAGATCCTATTGTCAGTCAGAAGTACACGACAGGAAGTACTTCAGACAGGTCAAAATGCCAGTTTTTGTTTCTGTAAATATTTATTATAGAAGAAAAACTGACGATTAAAGTGCCTTAAATTTTATCTAATAATTACAAATAATTACAAACGACTGATTTCCTGAGATGTACGACGTACATCCATTTTTACGACACTTTAAGTAATAACTGTACACGCGAAATTGGAACCAACAATGAGCAACGTTCCTGAGTTTCACTGACATCTTGTGATAGGGAAGGTAGCTATTTTCAACAGCACCCACCGTAAACGGCTATAAATCCACGGACTAACAAATCGGACAGACAGACTTTCTACTAGGTGATGCACGACTCGTCTACATTATCATCAAAACTATTTTCACAGCCATAGAATTGACAAAGCTGTTGTGGGAGTCGGTTTATTATTAAAAGAGTTGCCCTATCTTGGTTGATATTAACTGAATTGCCCTATCCCGATTAATATTAAAATAATTGCCCAACGTTGATTAATATTAAAATAATTGCTCTTGTGTTGATTAATATTAAAATAATTGCCCTGTGATGATTAATTTTAAAAGAATTGCCTTGTGTTGATTAATGTTAAAAGAATTGCCCTATGCTGATTAATATTAAAATAATTACCCTATGCTGATTAATATTAAAATAATTACCCTATCTTGATTAATATTAAAATAATTAACCTATGCTGATTAATATTCAAATAATTAACCTATGCTGATTAATATTAAAATAATTGACCTATGCTGATTAATATTAAAATTATTGCCTTATGCTGATTAATTTTAAAATAATTGCCCTATGTTGATTAATTTTAAAATAATTGCCCTATGGTGATTAATTTTAAAATAATTGCCCTATGCTGATTAATTTAAAATAATTGACCTATGCTGATTAATATTAAAATAATTGATCTATGCTGATTAATATTAAAATAATTGACCTGTGCTGATTAATATTAAAATAATTACCCTATGCTGATTAATATCAAAATAATTACCCTATGTTGATTAATATCAAACGATTTGCCTTGTGTTGATTAATGTTAAAAGAATTGCCCTATGCTGATTAATATTAAAATAATTGATCTATGCTGATTAATATTAAACTTATTGATCTATGCTGATTAATATTAAAATAATTGACCTATGCTGATTAATTCTAAAATAATTGCCCTATGCTGATTAATTTTAAAATAATTGACCTATGCTGATTAATATTAAAATAATTGACCTATGCTGATTAATTCTAAAATAATTGCCCTATCCTGATTAATTTTAAAATAATTGCTCTATGTTGATTAATATTAAAAGAATTGCTCTATGCTGATTAATTTTAAAGGAATTGCCCTATCCTGATTAATTTTAAAATAATCGCCCTATGTTGATTAACATTCAAAGAATTGCCCTATGCTGATTAATTTTAAAATAATTGCTCTATGTTGATTAATATTAAAATAATTGATCTATGCTGATTAATTTGAAAATAATTGCCCTATGTTGATTAATATTAAAATAATTGACCTATGTTGATTAATTTTAAAATAATTGCTCTATGTTGATTAATATTAAAATAATTGACCTGTGCTAATTAATATTAAAATAATTGACCTATGCTGAATAATATTAGAATAATTGCTCTATGTTGATTAATATTAAAAGAATTGCCCTATGCTGATTAATTTTAAAGGAATTGCCCTATCCTGATTAATTTTAAAATAATCGCCCTATGTTGATTAACATTAAAAGAACTGCCCTATACTGATTAATATTAAAAGAATTGCCCCGTGATGATTAACATTAAAAGAACTGCCCTATGCTGATTGATATAATAAAAAATGGCCTATACTGATTAATATTAAAAGAATTGCCCTATGCTGATTGATATTAAAAGAATTGCCCTATGTATTAACAGCCAGCTGTACAAGACACATAACCGATTATCCCACGAGGGCGTTTGCTCAGTTTTCGTAACAGTATTTGACAACGTTGTTGGGGGGTATCGTTGTTGCCTAACATTCATCTCATTTAGTACCCCCCCTCCCCCAGTGGCACAACGGCATGTCTTCGGACTTACAAAGCTAGAACCCGGGTGTCGATACTCATGGTGGGCAGGGCACAGATAGCCCATTGTGTAACTCTTTGTGCTTAACTTCAAACAAACATTTAGTAAGTAGTATAAGATACATATGCCCATAAACACGGTAACTTATAATGTATGATACTAACAAAAGTGTCGTTTGCAAATTTCAGATCCCTGTCAATTAAAGATACTTGTTTTTAACTTCCTGGTAGCAGCAAAAAATGTAAAGCGTTATCTTGTTAATTCTATAAAAACACACACGTTTGATACTTGAAGAAAGATATTTTAACTTTCTTAAAAATAGCAAACTAACTTCGGGTTTTTTACTTGCTAATAAAGAGGAATCGTGTTACTTCTGTATAAAAACATACATTTTAACATTAAAATGTATGTTTTTATACAGAAGTAAAAAAGAATGTTAAAATGTATGTTTTTATACAGAAGTAAAAAAGAATGTTAAAATGTATGTTTTTATACAGAAGTAAAAAAGAATGTTAAAATGTATGTTTTTATACAGAAGTAAAAAAGAATGTTAAAATGTATGTTTTTATACAGAAGTAAAAAAGAATGTTAAAATGTATGTTTTTATACAGAAGTAAAAAAGAATGTTAAAATGTATGTTTTTATACAGAAGTAAAAAAGAATGTTTTTTAACATTCTTTTTTACTTCTGTATAAAAACATACATTTTAACATTCTTTTTAATTAGAAATACTTATTTTTTATATCCATTGACAACAACAGATCAGTTTGAAGTTTCTTTGTCAATATAACCCTTTTAATTATGAATACAGGCAACATTAGAATCTTTTGTTGTTGTTGTTGCTGTTAAGGAAATATGCTTCTCTTTATCTCTCTTGGCAACAGTAAATTAATTTGTAATTTATGTTTCAATAAAAGAAGAATTTAAACAGCATAGAAACAGGAATAGAAACCCTGTTGGTTTTTCTTCTCACACATCGAGACGACAGGCACCTCCAAATTTAATATCAAGATATCGACATATCAAGAATATATTAAAGAAAGCAAACTTATCACCAGTACAGACGTCATGAAACAGAACCCTAACCATTGGACGTAATTCACTACTCTTAGTACAACCTATAACGGTTTTCAGTCGTTCTCACGCTTCGTCATTCCAAATTTACCATCCAAGGTTTCTATTTTGCAGATTTGTTTGTAGTTAAGCACAAAGCTACACAATGGGCTATCTGTGCCCTGACACCATGGGTATCGAAACCAGGTTTCTAGCGTTGTAAGTCCGCAGGCTTACCGCTGTGCCACTGAGGGCTGCTGATCGAGACAGTATTTATAAGTGTTAGGGTTTGTTTGTTTTGAGAGAACAGCCACATTGGACTATCTGTTGTGTCCTCCGCGGGGAACCAAACTTCGAATTTTAGTGTTGTAAGCCCATAAATTTCCCGCTAACCCACCGGAGGACAACTGTTGGGGAGTAGGAGCAGGAAATTACAAAACTAATAATCTTTAGAAAAAAGTACATTTTCCTATTAAATTTGAATACCAGTTTGTAGAAGCAAACAAAGTAGTATCAGTTTGAATATTTAGCTCACGACAAACAACTTTGTGTCATTTTAAAGATATATATAGAATATATTATATCACAATGTCGCTACCTGTGTCACAATATGATAGTGAATTAGGTACAGATTATGGAGTGTTTAACGTGGATATGTGTTTTTTCTAGATGTATAATGTGACTTATTAACTAAATCCACTTCTGATACTGTTGTTTGTTCTGCGCATCTTAAACCACAGTGGCGTTGCTTTTTACACTCTTCTTATAACGCTAAAACTCAGGGTTCGATTCCCCACAGTTGACAGCCCATTACATAGCTTTGCACTAAAAACACAAACAAACAAACTATTCTTGTTCCACTGTGTTCCAGTTAATCTGATTGGTTGTTGTTTTCATTTTAAACAATGATCGATCAAATGTTGAGAGAAAGTTTATATTTGTTAGCATTATAAAGAGCTTGAGATATTGTGACAAAAGTACCATTAGATACAAACAATGTTAATTCTCATTGTTATCACTAGAGCAATCAGATTTTGCCAGATTTAAGTCGAATTCTAATCTACATAAATAAATGACGACGTGGGTTCAGAAAATTATATCTCATTCTCAGTTTGCCTTCACGTGACCACATTAACAAGAAGCGAAAATATTCATAATGTTGTCTGTTTATGACCTCATGATTGAACAAAAAAATAACAGTGGTATTACAAATGCAAATTTTCAAATACAAACCTGCTACACAATAGGCTATCTGTGCTCTGCCCATCACGGGTATCGAAACCCGGTTTCTAACGTTGTAAGTCCGCAGATATACTGCTGTGCCAACGGGGAGGGGATCTCGTTTAAAAAGTTTTTGTTTTTTGATAAATGGTTTACTACACGTAATACCTGATAACCTTATTAGAACATAGAGTAGATGGCCCACTTCTCGTATTTACACGGATCAAGTGAAGTGTTTAGTGTTCTATACATAGAGTTACAGTAGACATCTGCTCTAATAGTCTGCGCGAAGACGTAAACGGAAGTAAAAAAATAGAATGTTTCTAGTTATAATTTTCTTGTACGAGATTTCATAAGTGGATAACTTATGAATGATACATTAGTCCACGTTATGAATGAAACATTAGTCCAAGTTATGAATGAAACATTAGTCCAAGTTATGGGTGATACATTAGTCCACGTTATGAATGAAACATTAGTCCAAGTTATGGGTGATACATTAGTCCACGTTATGAATGAAACATTAGTCCACGTTATGAATAATACATTAGTCCACGTTATGAATGACACACTAGTCAAAGTGATGAATGACACATTAGTCCACGTTATGGATGACATATTAGTCCACGTTATGAATGACACACTAGTCAAAGTGATGAATGACACATTACTCCAAGTTATGAACAATACATTAGTCCACGTTATGAATGACACACTAGTCCACGTTATGAATGAAACATTAGTCCACGTTATGGGTGATACATTAGTCCACGTTATGAATGAAACATTAGTCCACGTTATGAATGAAACATTAGTCCACGTTATGGGTGATACATTAGTCCACGTTATGAATAATACATTAGTCCACGTTATGAATGATACATTAGTCCACGTTATGGGTGATACATTAGTCCACGTTATGAATAATACATTAGTCCACGTTATGAATGATACATTAGTCCACGTTATGAATAATACATTAGTCCACGTTATGAATGAAACATTAGTCCACGTTATGAATGAAACATTAGTTCACGTTATGAATGAAACATTAGTCCAAGTTATGAATCGACATCTAGCTTTTATAATATAACAATAATTATCCAAACAAAATGGAAATATTTATCCAATTACCAAATTTCTTAGGTGTTACAGTCACTGTGGGTTTATCGGTCAGTCACATAACGTTTTGCAAAGAGCATGTGTTCTTCCACTTGAAAAAAAATAGTTCTAAGCAATGCCATCGGTTGAATTTTTCATGTTATAGTATTTGTCTTTTTGTTAGTTGTTAAAAACAAAGTTGTGCTCAAGCTGGGTATCTAAGCCCGATTTTTTACGTTATAAACTTTCAGACTTACCACTGAAGGGTCGTTGTAACATAAAAATACTGTTTTCTGGCTCTCGACTTACATTTTAGAAAATTCAAGCATCACTTCAAATGATTTTCGTATATTACAAGATTTGCCAAATCTATTTTACCAGTTTCGAGGAGAACACAAACAACAACATGAATATCAGTCTTGATCATGCATTCCTCTTTTTTATCTTAAAGATCAAAGATCAAATACCTAAAATAGAAAATAGCATTATGAAAATCAAGGTTGGTCTAGGATTAGAATCCTCTGGATCAGTGATTCCATTATGGTCATGCTTGCACGCGAGAGGAGGTTTTAACACCGACTAAATCGCAATCCACCCTTCCCCCATTATGGTCATGCTTGCACGCGAGAGGAGGTTTTAACACCGACTAAATCGCAATCCACCCTTCCCCCATTATGGTCATGCTTGCACGCGAGAGGAGGTTTTAACACCGACTAAATCGCAATCCACTATTCCCCCAGTAATGGGGCTCTGTCATATTACATTTGCCAGTACGCATAATAGGTTGCATTGCGCCGTCCCTAATTTCGAACCACCGAACAACTGTTTTTCAGCAGCCTACAGTTATTTGGTTACATAACTTATTTAATCTATTTTTACCTTATTCAACTCTTTACTACTTTATCATTACTACTACGTATTTTTTTTTACACCAAGTTCTCGATGTAAATAAGAGGAGATTGTGGTTATAACTTGGTGAAGTAGAGATCAACACTGATAATCATTACCCGATACTATAGAAACAGTGCAAATAAACACAGAAAACTTTTATGTAAAGTTATAACAAAAAAACACATTTATTTTTGCCTTTGGGGGTTTATCCTCCGGTTTAATTACGAGCCAAAACATTTGTACAAATGTTTTCGAGAACAGTCAGATTGTTCTAGCAACTGTTGTTAGAATCTCGTACCGTGTATTATTACATTTACTACAGCCTCAGACGGATGGGGCTCTTAGCCGCTGTATTAACGGATTATCGAAGCTCCGCGTAGGCTTATCCTAAGCCTTCGCAAAGATCACGAGAAGTTCGGTCACAAGGAAATGATGCCGGAAAGTCTGGTTCTCTGTTGTTGTTGTTGGCTTTTTTTAGCACGTTTAGATATTTTTTTAATGTCTTAAAATATATAACTAAAATAAAAGCCAGTTTGGAATGTTTTGTATGTAAATTTAAGCTGTTTTATAATAACTGTAATTTTAAAACATTTATTACTTCGCGAAAACTGTATAGTTATTCTCCAGTAGTAAGAATGAATATATTTTAAAAAGAGTTTTACTTCTGCGACTTGGTGCTCCTCTAGAATCATTGCTGGCTGCATGAAAGATCCTTAGGTCAGGTCCCTTTAATTTAACGTGATCTCCACGAGCGGGGCGAAGGGGATATTAACAACTCTGTTGTGGACTGTTTTTGTTTTATTTTTTCATTTAAAACTAAACACCTGCCACGGGTTTTTCTTTTTTTTCTTCTCTCTCTTGTTTCGCTCAGGAAGCAATTAATTTTGGTGAGAGCGGTCGATAAAATTTTGGACTTTAGGGCTAAGATTACGAAATCGGGGACAGTAGGAAAATGTCGGGGAGGGGGCATAGTACTGTTAAGATACTGACTATGTATAGATTCATGGGGAACCTCATCGAGGATGCGGAATGTCCAGGGGGCATTGTGCTAAGGAAGTTTGATAACCCCTCCTGATGTAAGGTCTGCCCCCAAAAAATTCACGGGTTTGTTTGCGAGGACATGATTAAAGATTACAATGTAGAAATTAAAAAAAAATAGTTTATAGTATTTTAATACGACATTTTTGTTCGGCAGTTTCTTTAGAGATTCTTTAGAGGTCACCAACTATTTAGAAAAATGTTAAAGCAGAAAAAAATGAAACGTATTCTCATAATTAATAACACAGCAAATAGAAGTCCCCCTGGTGGGACAGCGGTAGTTTTATAATGCTACAATCCGGGGTTCGATTCCCCGCAGTAGACACAGAAGATAGCCCAATGTAGCTTATTCAACGCTTCTGAAATTGCAACGCTTATTAAATGTATTTACCAAATGCTTTAGTTTAGATGCGAGGCGTGTGATAAGTTGCTTTAAGCTCGCATTCTTATTCCAAATAGTTTAACAAATGTCGTTGAGTGTCGCCACTTACCACTTTATACTTCTGAAGAATGTCCCCTGGTGGGACAGCGGTAAGTTTCCGAACTTACAACGCTAAAATTCGGCGTTCGATTCTTCACAGTAGGCACAACAGATATCTCAATATGGCTTTACTCCAAAACTAACAAAAAACAAGCTGGAAAACAGAAGACATTTCTAAAATGTCATTTTACATTTACTCCCCTTGAACGTGTCCGAGTTTGGTATTGTCTGGCTTCATTTGATTTGAAAAGAAGAAATTGATTGGTAGTAGCTTTTTCTTTGATTTTTGTTAAAAAGGAAAATAAGAAATAAACATTCAAGTACTTCAAGTTAATAATTAAATAATTAAAAATATAAATAAAGTTAAAAAAACATTCTAGTACTTCAAGTTAATAATTAAATAATTAAAAATATAAATAAAGTTAAAACAACATTCTAGTACTTCAAGTTAATAATTAAATAATTAAAAATAAAGTTAAAACAACATTCTAGTACTTCAAGTTAATAATTAAATAATTAAAAATATAAATAAAGTAAAAAAAAACTTATTAAATGGGGTCGCCAAGAGCGGCCAGAGGTTAGCGTGCTGGACATAAGGTCCTCAGCACTTTGGGGCGGAAGGTGAGTTATAACAGTAGCGTTCAAATCCTACTATTCAGTCTGACAAGAGTAGCTCAAGGGTTGACGGTGAGTGGTGTTGACTAGCTGCCTTCCTTTTAATCTTTTGCTTCAAAATTGCCCCCACTGTGGATCGGCAATAAGCCTGCAGGCTTACGACGCTAAAAATCGGGTTTCGATACTCATGGTTGGCACAGCTCAGATAGGCCCTTGTGTGGCTTTGCGCTTAACAACAATTAAATCAGCCCCCCAGTGACACAGCGGTATGTCTGCGGACTTACAACGCTAGAAACCGGGTTTCGATACCCGTCGTTGGCAGAGCACAGATAGCCCATTGTGTAGCTTTGCGCTTAACAACACACTTATGTGGCTGTAAGTTTCATGTTAAAAACTAGGTTTTCAGTAGTTATTTTTATTAGTAGTTATTCTACTGTTCCGCTGTTTACTAGTTTCAGTAATCTCTACTTTTGAACTGACGGACTAGAGGGAAGGCAGCTAGTCAACAGCACCCATCGTCAATTCTTGGGCTACTCTTGTGAGAATTGAATAGTAGTTTTTAACCAACACATTTCTAACGCACCCATCGCTCTAAAGAGCGGAGTTCATTTTTCCAGCAACGGGTCACAAACCATGAATCCTCGGACTCACAAACCGGGCATCTAGCTTTGCCCTGGTTGTTCAGAGGACAGCAAATACTGGTTATGTTTGTTTATTTGAAGTTAAGCACAATGC